CACAGATAGCCCATTGTGTAGCTTTGTGCTTAATGTTACGTATTAGAATTTCAAATAGCCCGAAATTGAGTTAATTGATAGATTTAAATTTAGTCGTTAAATTGTAACTTGGATTTAGTAGTTAAGTAAAAACCGATATATAGTCAGTTTGTGATATTTGCCAACAAGATTGATACACACAATTTTCTTTTTTTAACACAAATACGTTTTAATATATACACACACAGGTACAATTTACAATAACACTTATTACAAATAGTTATTACAAACAAAAATTTCACAAACTTACAAACTTAAAGTCTTCCTTTTAATCTGAAACTTCTTCGATATCTTATCGAGGGTTCACGATGAGCGAGTTGATTACGTAGGTATATTTCACTTATAGGAAGCTAACTAGCCCTGTAGTCTTCACTGTTCATACGCCTATTAGTGATTGAGTTTCCACCGATGACGTTAGATTATGTATTTTTAAAAGTATTAATGTTCGATGAGAATCCACTGAAGTTAAATGGTTTGTAATGTTCGAAATTTATAAATATTCCTGGTCAACTATCTGAAGTTTTCCGATTGATAAGCGTTATAACAATCACAGTTATAGCTTCCAAAGTTTATAGCACACCGACTATAGCGAACCAATAATAGATACTCTCTCTTTGGCGCGTCGTGTTGGTTATATTTATAGCCATGTGGAGGCGTTCTAGAAAATTCAGATTACGTAACAATACAAATTAAAGCGTTTGAGTACACTCATATATTGTTGATTCTTACTCTCGAGTATCTTCTACAACTTTGGAGAATAGGCGGATGTTTCTCAATACATATTTAACACTATAAACTACGCATGTTTCTATATATAAATTTAATCTAAACAAATGTTGATATTAAAATAAGTATATAATAACAAATTCGTTACACTAATTACAAACAAACAAACAAGCTTGAATATATGGTACTAAGATCAATTAATAACAGACGCCAATAGAAACAAGAAGAAAAAATAAGGTAAGGTTAGAACTTCACTTTATTCTCTTCTACTATTAATATAAATATTCGTGGACGCGATTCAGTGAGGATAGATTTCCGAACCCCCAACAAGAAAACAATTTGGGGCCTACTGCGTACATACATTGCGAGTGTGTGCATAAATCTTCTTACACAGATTAAACGCAGAGAAAATAACAATATACTCCAAACTAAAAGTACATCTATAAAAACATCGGAACTGGAACTTACATTTGGACCTCTTAATTAATCCTCAGTGAGGGATAAGAACAATGATCAGTTAAACTTTACTTGACCGGATAATTTATTGTTTGTTTGTTTTTTAAACTGTATACAGTTACGCATGTTCTAATTTAATTTATTTAAATCAAGATTAATCTAGATAGGTTTCAGAATTCATCTTATTTAGGAAAGTCAAACACATTATTTTTTGACGAAGTTAAATTTCCACCATACATTTAAAATACGTGTTTATTTCTAAACCAAACAACGAAATTGAGCTACGGCAGAAGTCCTACAGTCGCCTGTAGAAATGTGTTTGTCGCATAGCAGATATATAATTCAGGATAAATAGACGTCAAAGGAAGCACTTATTTAAGGTTTCATTGAAGCATTATATTTTTAATATCTGACACAAGAGTGTTAATTTGTGACTGAGGACTGTTATTTTGAAAATCTCCAATCTAGTTTATTCGATTTTGGTCCATGTAATCTTGACAGCTATACTTGATCACATGCAGATGTTATATGTTTAGAGAGTATAGTTACGTTCAAAAATTATTCAATACTACTTTATTGTTAATATAAAAGATTCCTGGTTCGTCTCCCTTTGTCGCAAAAACAAGCCTTTTCCGCTTTGGAGCATTAAGTGTGTTAACTTATAAAAGCTACAGTCAAATCCAACTAGTAGAACATAACAGTTTGGTTTGGTTTGTCTTGTCTTAAATGTTGCGCAAAGCAACACGAAGGCTATCTCCAGTAATCATCCCTAATTTAGCAGTAATAAACTAGAGGGAAGGCAGCTAATCAATACCCCCCCCCCGCCAACTCTTGGGCTACTCTTTTTGCAAACGAATAATGGGGTTGACCGTAACTTTATAACGCCCCCACGGCTGAAAGGACGAGCATGTTTGATGGCAGAGATTCGAACCCATGATTAGCAGATTTCGAGTCGAGCGTCGTAACCACCAGGCCATGCCAGGCGGAACATACGAGAGTAGCCCAAGAGTTTACGGTGAGTGTTGTTAACTAACTGCCTCCCATCTAGTCTATTATTTCAAAATTAGGGACTGCAGTTTATATTTGGTGTAATTTCGCAAGAAATCCTAAAACAAAATATTGGTACTAAACAGAATAGTGTACTATCTGCCACATTTTTATTCAACAAAGTCCAAAATTTGTCTGCTATTGCTAGTGAACTCACTCTGTTATTTGCGTCATCTTGTTAAATGAGCACGCTAATTATATTAATTTATAACATGTTGAATTTACCTTAGCTTAGTTCACTATTAATTTACTGGGAATTATCCACTTCTAATGCAAGAAATTGAATATCCAGAATGTTTATTAGGGTAATAATGTCAGAAATTCCGTACTGCTCCTTCGGATGTGAATGCAATGCTACTTAAGCAACATCGAGAAAAGGTTAAAACAAACTACCATTAAGAAAATTTGTTGGCGTACACTGAATGAGAAGCTTACGAAACAAAATATTTTCATGGATGACATGTAAATTTTTAAATAAATCCGATTAAAATTATGGTAAGTATCTGCAACTAGGAAAACAATATTCGAACTTTGTATGCACCTACTTCTTCAACTCTTCTGAAATTATTACCACCGATAGAACGTTTTCCAAATATTTCCTGGTCGATGAGTATCAGAACTCAAGACTTTTACTTCTAAAAGCTTCGTTAGCGTCATAAGAACAGTCTATAATGAAAAAACCTTGTTCCAAGTATCAAGACCAACTATAAGAACTGCATCACGGCAGGACTTCAACTCTTATTTCGAGGTTAACGCTCGTTTTCTAAACAATAGAATGAAAC